TGCACGTTGGTATACTTCACACTGTGTGTTTATGCGACGCAAGAGTTACTAAGTCAAGTAACCCGGCTCGGATTTGGCTAAGAAGTGCTGCTTGTGCTCCATGCGCATAAACGGTGAAGACGGTACAAAGAAGCCCTGCCTACCGTGTTTCAACTTAATGTGCCTTTTCAGATTGTCAGATCTGGTCAACGATATATTACATATTGAACATTCGTGCTTGTCGGGGTTGTGCGATTTCATATGCTTTTTCATGTTGGTCACGCTCTTGCCGCACAGCTTACAGCACTCCATACCGATCTGCGAGTGCTCTAACTTATTGTGACTGTTTTTACTTATATCCTTTTCTTTTTTGCAAGTCCTTGTCCTTCCTGGAATACAAGGTCCCGTTTCGATGAATTTCACCATAATTCATTAACGATGTCAACTGTGTCTACAAGTATCATCCCAAAATACGTAAGGATGGTCGATTCGTCGTTATCACATTCCATTTCTATTTCTTTTTTTTTTGCGCAATGTCTCAGGTAATGTCTTCCAAACTTCATAATTTAAAAAAGTTGTACATATATTTTTTTTATCAAGTACTCAAATAAATATACAATTGTAAAATTATGAAATAAAAGATCTCGAAAATTGAATGTCAATTCCCCTTTTATTATCAGAATTTTTAATAGCCATTATAACAATATAAATGTAATAGCTGTCCGTAAAATATTCGAAATGCAAATATTTCATCACAGGTTTTACCTTTTCATTGTAAAATGCGAAAATTATATAAATATTTAAATATGTAATATTTCTTTAAAGAAAAATTTTGGGGCAAATATTTACTGTTTAATTTTACTGTTTAACACATAACAATGTTTAAGTACCAATAAAATTCTAATTAATCGTTATAGAAAAAATATCAACAAAAATTTATTGCAAGAATGTAATATTATTCTCCGCAATAATAATCTCCGCAAGATTAAAATCTTAGAGGAGAATTTTTATCATTTTAGGTATATTTTAAAAAATATTTATTCAGATATATTTTTTTTAATATCACTATTAATTTAATATAAAAAATTATCATTGCGAAAAGAAAATATTTCCGTTGATAACGTTAAATAGAACATCCTTTAAATGCTTCCCATAAGTCACACTCTACGTCAAATAGTTGCAGAGAAGAGAGTATTTTCTCAATTACGTTCAAAATCAACGAAGATATCATAACGAACACCACACTCGTATTTGTATAGGATAATGTACTTAATAGAATTGCTTGATTTTCTCTCTTGTTTTTAAAAGCGCTGCAAATATAAATAAATAAATGATATAAATCTTGCTTGTTGCGGAAATGAAATAATGTAGACATAAAAACAAAAAACAGAAGTAGGAAGATATAATTTAAAAAAAATTGAAACTCTTTCGCGTTTATCGAAACAAGAGAATCGATCAACTCTATCAAGGACTTCGCCCCGTGCTCTTTCTCATCTATAATTACCTACTCGTAGCAAATGTCAATACCAAGTAAAAAGCGCAATTCTACGGTCATCTCATCGCGTTCCAAGAGACTAAAGATACTGTCACAATACAGTACAGGGAGAGAAAGAAAAGAGGAAAGAAACGTCTCAAACTTAACATACCGAAAGGAAAATTGAATTGAATTGAAAGGAAAAATAAACACTCAAGTGTGAGAGAACCTCGGATCCCAGGGAGGGATCGCCGATTCGCCTCCACGGTATATACGCCCGATCTGCGGGGATCGCGATACGAACTATCGACTTTGTCCCCAGCTCTTAAACGCCGCCGCATACATAAATTGCTCCGTCGGAGATCAAACGCGCGCATCTCGCGGCCACTGGTAACTATTGCATAATGCAGCTCGTGCAACATTTCAGCTAACTAGATATAATATGAATATGCAATCAAGAAGTACGTAATCTGGTAACTATCAACGACAGCGGCGACGGCGACGACGACTACAACGACTACGACGACGACGACGATGACGACGACGACGACGAGAACGCTACGAGGTCGTGGATGCGAAAGATAAACGAAGAATAGCGTTAGCAACAGAGTCTATTTAACGAGCGGTCTAATCGCGTATATGCTTCTTCGGGAATAATCGTTAAGAGGAAAAAATGATACCTAGGGTTACGAGTTTTCCTGCTGTTGCTGCTGCTGCCGCTGCTGGCGACTATTATTAATGCATTGACGATGCGCAGTGGATAAGAGTCGTGTGACTATAAATAAAGCGTGACGTATTAATGTAGACGAACGATAGAAGATATTCCGCGAAAAGTGAAATTTTATCTCGTAAAATCCACCTATATTCTTTTATAGATGTATGTATATAAAACTCGGATCCTCGGATCTTCCAATCCCTGATTCCGGAGAATTCTCCTCAAGTTTGGAGAATTTGCGAATTCTAGAATCTCGTAAAATCTAATTGGAGCATCTTACTCTCTAATTTTAGGATACAGGTTTTCGGGATTACCAGATCCTCGGATCCTCCGCTATACTTGTATAATCGCGTTAACCTTCATATTCCATCTCGTGGATATCAAGTAACGTAGCATAGGAAACGTCTTACGTAACGGCGTTTTTTTTTCCCCGCGGCCGGCAACTTTATTAACGCAAACGACGGATTGCGCAACGAGATGCGCGACGGCTGCACATTTTGTTGCTAATATTCTCGTTCACTCGTGTAGATCGAAACGAACAGCGCAAGAGAGACGTGAGAATATAAGATCAAGATCGCCAGGCACGGTGACGCAAGATACGGCAAAAGGGGAATACAAGAGAATAAGGAAATAAAAAACAGCACATAAAGACATGCACAGAGAGTCCCGCCATGGAAGTCGCATATATGCGCACGTCTGCGTCTGCACGTGCACGCAGCGTACGTATATATGCTATATACATATATATATATATATATATATATATATATATTTGTATATATGTTTATATAAAAATATATGACATAAGTATGTACACATCATCTTGTACCACACACACACACACATTTACACGCGCATTCGCGCAAATGGAGTTCGTTAATGTAATGCATCACGCATACGCTCGCACACACGCGCCACACGTGCACGTGAACAGCGAGATGAACTCAGCTACAGTCGCACCCACACACCATCGCCAATCATCGGACACGGTTTAAAATTTAAAAAAAAAAAAAAAAAATGAGATAGGAGTACAGTCCATTTGCTGATACCATGTCCCAAACCAACGAGAGCTTTGTTATGTTTAATTTTTTTCTGTGTATACGTATTAACACACGTAAAATAAAACTACCACAATGACGTAGCAAATGCACGATACCATCACCACAACACCAAGGGTTCATGTAATATACATATGTAGTTAGACATATATACAAACATACGCAGACACACGGAGAGAGATCGGGTCTCTCAGTTGCGTATGCAAATATATATATATACATACGTACACATATATACATGTACATATATATATAAAAGGAGGTCTTTTATTTTCTAAAAGTTACACTCACTACACTTGCCAGATTTGGAAATAGAGGGATGCTCGCTTCGGACGACACCTACGTACGACTCCGACTCGTGTCAAATCCTTGCAAAAACGTGCATGCAGATCTCCCTCGATTTCTTAGATGTAACATATTTCCCACACACCGACACTGAGCAAAGAGACCGTTTTTTTCCAACGTCGGGCAATCGGCTACACGCACGAGTTCGATTCACGAATAGACATTGAATAATACGTCATCAGATCGCATGTTTAATATTTTATCCCGTTCGAGAGTTAATTGTATTATACCTGAGATAATATAGGATACACCATAATGTATAATGTACAAGTTAATCGCAGATCAGAACGGCTTGGTGGCAAAACGTGAAAAAGGAAATATGTTAAATCTAAACGAAATTTTGGTCGTAAAGTTGGATATGTGTGCAGGTCTTACCATCAAGTCCGTCGAGCATTTCCGGGGGATTATGGTGCTCAGATGATTCAATCCCTTGAACTCCGTCACTGAGTGCTCCTGCCGTGGCCCCTCCATCTTCTCCTATCAGTCCAACTGGATGACCCTGTACATGACATAATCACATATTTATAAATAAATAGTCGACAATAATGTAAAAGTCGGTTCGCGTTTTACGATATAATATTTAATTAAAATATTTTTTATATATTATCATATCTCAAAAGACAAAACTTTGTATTCTCCTTGCAAATTGTTGCTTTTCAAGCTCTTACTAAATTCCCAAACTTTCAAATCATTTTTGAGATGATCAAATTTGGGATTTTTTTTAACCTACTAAAAATTTGCATTTTAAGATTTTTAAAGTGTCATAATTTTTCACGTTTAATTTGATAAAATTGTGATAAAACTTTAATAACATAATAAAAAATTATATAGCTTGGAGTTCATAAAAATGTTTTAAAATGTTTCTTAAATAAAAGATATTATACTTAATTAAAAGGTAAAATACTTGTGTAGAAGGTTATATGTTCTAATCAACGTAATTCCAAACAAAAAATTATTTTTAGAATAATTTGATTTATTTCTTTTCAAATATATAAGAATCTGTCACAGAACATGATTTCAAAAATATGTGCTTTGGCATCCTTTTTTCTCAAACATTATGTATTACGCTGTAATATATTACACCGAGTATCTACCAACATATACAACTATAAAGTACATGTTCACAAAATAGTAGCTGAATTTTTTAAATAAATTGCAGCCATTTCGGAAACGTGCCACCTTATCGTAAATAATAATAAAAACAAACGCTTAATAAAATAAATTATATACTTATTCAATCGTCTATTAAAGTTATTTGCATGATTTTCGAAACTGTAAAAATGTTATCAGTATCTTTATATGTTATTTAATGCACAACTGATCATCGAAGATGGCAAAGAAACATATATACATTTAAAATATTTTCATATGAATGTTGTATATGCCTTATATATAATATATATTATATTATATATATTATATACATAATAACATTAATAATTAATATTATTAATGTTAATAAATTTTTATATTAACCAACATAATTATGTATATTTATGTATATGTTGTTTTTAACTTTACACACATACAATAACTTTAACATTGATAAAATTATCTAATGATAAGAACTTGCTTTTGTAAACTTATATTTAACAAGTGTAAATTTATTTGCAACATTGTTGATGCAATAAAAAGCATTATAGATTGAATATAATTTGAAAATACAAAAGTTCAAGGCTAAAATATAAAATAAATTGGAAAGAGAAATCTTTAGAGGATCTGAAAATATCTAAAAGACAGGGTAATCAAATAAATAATAATGTAACATATTCTGTTACAACATCAGTGCGTATTTCATTTTGTGTCAAAATAATTATTTAAGTTTACTTAAATTTTGGAGCGGTTTATCGTAGATAGAAATTTCTTTAAGTGGTCACGTATCTTGCACAAGTGTGTAAACATTACATATGTAAATGTCTTTTGTATGTATATTAATTGAGCGCGAAACTGACTACGAATAAATTCGGCACAGATAGGATATGATGATAGGTGTCAAGGCTAGCACGTTTTCGTATAAATGTAACTCTTTTTTGCCTCGCTTTCTTTTGTTACGCACAGATTGTGTGCTTTACACTTATCATGGTGGTTCACGATCTCGAGTCTAAAATTGCCATTTCCCGCGGCAAACGACGTGCGAATCTCTGGTATGGTCTCGCTCCACTTTCTACAATATTTGCAAAACATAAGATTCGATTGTTCATCGTACTGCAGCCAGGAATACAAGTCTAACCATCCCGGTTTAAATCTACCGGCCTTTCTACCTTGCGGAATAGAACGATGCACGTTTGCGCACATCGTCGATTGAATCACGGACATTCCCGACTCGGGATGATTTATTTGTAAAGATCTGCGCATGTCACTCTCGAGTGCTTTAACAACCGAATACTCGGGCAACGATTCATAAGGCTGGGTCTGATCAGTGCTATTGCTTTTGTACGAATGGTGCGAGTTCATGGGCACGGCTTGACTTAGCGGATTATACGAATTTCCGGGATATTCGGACGCAATCCCCGACATATCGACATAGAGAGAACCTCCAGCCATGATGGCACTTTCGCGAGAAACTTGCACCACAGCGGAATCTGGATGATTTGAAGTCATGTTCTGTTTCACATCCACAGTTTCGTCACTCTTCCCATCTCTCTGAACCACCTCCCACTCCATATTAGTCTGTCAACAGAGAAGGAAAGGATATGTGCTTAATCAACACATCTCGATCGATTTTCTTTCTTTCTTTCTTTCTTTTTTTTTTTTTTTTAGCAAAAAAAGCCAATTCTGTAATCTCTATTGGAAAATCCCTTCCTTCCCATGTTTGTTTCGACTGAGTAGTTGTAGGACGACAATAGGTAATTGTCATCAATTGTGGGAACAGTAACGAAACTCCGTTATAGGGACAATTATCTTCACGATATATCACGAACTTTGCACTTCATTCACGACTGTGCAAAGTATTTTAAGAGAAGAAGCATATAGCGTCTTCAAAAAAAGAAAAAGAAAAAAAAAGAAGATAAAAATAAAAGAATATAAAATAAAAATATCTTTAACACATAGAATCAAAGTTTACATGCTGAAATAATATAACATATACCAACGTGCGTTGTTACGTGAGCACTTTGCATCACAAAATATTCAAACAATATATACATGCATTAATTTGAAGTTGATAACCCAAAGACATTTTGTATTTTTTAAATATTAAAGTATTCTCAAAGAATTATCTTACAGAAATAATGTATTAACTAGTAGTGCATAATTACATAATTACTTTACAATCACGTGCTCGGAAATAAATGTAATAAGATGAGAAACAATAAGATACTCCGAGTTTTTTGTGTGTTCACATAGTCTATGTGATCTTTAGATAAGGAAACAAGAACATAAACACAGTCTTATCATTTTTATCTTTTATGCAATCATGATAAATATATCAGGAAATGATTGCCTTCAACTGCATCAACAATATTTCCAAATAAATTGGGATATTCATAATCAGCTCTTGCCAACAAGAAAAGTTATATACACATATATTTTATTACACGTAATAATATAGATCATGCACTTTTAATTAGTACTTTGCGTTATTAAACAAAAATCTTCGTAGAAAAAAGCAAAGTAAACATACGTGTGCAGGATAGAGAAGTAGCAGGAAATGATTAAACATTAAAAATGTGAAATGCATAAAAATTGAAAATTACTTACGGGGAGGGAAATATTGTCATGGAAGTCGGGCAAGTGGTGATCCACCTCTTGTTTAATAGGAGCCTGCGGTTGTGAAGCAGGGGACATGGGTCGACCACCATCTTCCATCTCAACTCCCAGGGCATTATTTAACTTTGGAATCACAGGAGGACTTGATTTGTAACTACACTGCGAGGATGTCTGAAAACAGTCAAAAAAATTTTTCTTCATTTTCCTCCGAACACTACATATCTCTTGCCTTCACACGATTACTAAGAATTTGATGTTAAGATCTTTGTTTTCTAAAAAAAAATTAAAAAATAAAAATAAAAACAGTTATAGATTCTCTTGCTTAGAAACAACACGATTTATAATAAACTAACAAGTTTCTTGTTGAATAATGTTTACTATTATGTAGTTGTAATCAAATTGCACTTGACATTTTGGAATAGATCATATCTTTTTCTAAATGTACAATTTTTAATGTTAAAATATATGAAAAGGTATAGAAAGCATTTTATGATATCTGTTTTGTGAATTATACAGCAGGTAATAGCCTAAACTCTTCAAGGTTACAAGTTATTTGGAAAGCTGTGCAATCACAAGCACATGTGTAATTCATTGATAATAATATATGAGATCACAATTAAACAGAATTTTAAGCAGTAGCACTAGTGATATATAAACAGAAATCAGCATTCATATAAACTTATTTAATAAGAAACAGTATGTATTTCTCCTAAATAAGTTTATAGAAATGTTGCATGTGTGTTATTTTATATAATTAATACGTAAGAATATAATGTAATGTCTAATATTGTTACAAACACAATAGAAAAGATAAAAATTATATTCAAACTAAAGAAAGTTTTGGAATGCTCACAAAAAAATTATACCTGTGTGTGAACTTTGAGATGAAATACTTATGTTGCTCATTTCTGTATAATTTTTCTTGATCGAGCTTCAAGATATGACACAATATGACCTTAATACAATATACTTCGCAATATGACTTAAGATAAATGCACATATGTTACGAATAAATAAGAATGATGACATTTTACATCGCCTATGTTATAATTACAGTTAACAGAAGAGACTAAACGAATACGTACAAATTTATGTACCTGAGAGTCGGACAAGAATCTTTCGCTAGGTGGGCCAGAAAGGGAAACGTCGTAGCTGCCTGAATTCTTTCTTTTCCTCTTCTCATGATGAGACTGGAGGTTAGGCGAATCGCTATGTCTGACTCCGGTTTGCGTTTCTGGATCCGGTGACGGACACTTGTCCTCCGTCTTGTTATTTACACTATTATCGGTGAGGCCCCTGATCTGTAATGCCTCCGCTGTTTTAAGGAACATCGGTAGCAGATGCTGACTAACATTGACTTCGCCCTTATACATAAAGTGCAGCAACGCCTTCATCTCCGTGTCATTGACATCCTTGAGGAATATGATTGGATGGGGGTGGGTGTTTTGCAGGAAAATGCTCTCGAAATACGGACTGCATGCGGACAGTATGGTCTGATGCGCCTTGAAGGTCTCTCCGACACAGGCCAGGGTCACGTCACAGAGCGCCTCTCTGGCTAGCAGCGAGCTGAGAACGTCTGTGAGGTTGGCTGGATGATTGTTCCACCGTAGACAATACTGCTGGTCCATCTTGTCTATCTCCAATCCCGACCCTACAACCAAACTAGTTGCCCTGAACTGTTCTACTACTAAAAGCCTATGCTCTCTACTCCCTGGGCTACTAAAACCGATATGATTCCCTAACCCTTAAAAATCGGCCAACTCACACACTACCTCCGCGCGCACTCTCCTATCGTCCTGACAATATCTCCCCGCAGATTAAATCGCGGCTCTCTAGACCCACACAACGTCCTCCGCGCTTCTGCAAATGTGCCACATTGCAGTATAACTGTAAAACCCTTCAGGGTTCACGCCGCGCTACTATACGTGCAGAAAACATTTTTTCGCATAACCTTAACGGCCGACCGAACTAACCCGCGCGCGGATTTCTACGCGATGGGCCGCGGCACGGGCCGCCCGCGAGGTTAGATCGCTAATTGCGACGCAGTACGTGCCCACCCACGTATACGATAATAATCCGATATATATTCGGAGGTGATGTTTTTGGCAATGTCAATATTCAACGAGGCTTGGGCGCCATTGTCGGCCGTGCTCGTCTAGCCTCCACGAGCCTCCTCGCGAAAACGCGATTTGTTGATGCCCGATTTTCTAGCCACTCGTACCAGCTACGCGCACCGCTTTACTCACGCGGATCCTACGCAGGTCGGCACGCCGTCGTGCATCACTCACCGCGATTTCGAGCTCCCCCGAATCTCCCACGTCGATTACTCACCTCTCGCAAACTTTTTGCCATTACAACGCCACCCGACCCTTAACGTCCACTGCCATACCAATCTGCCAATGCCTACGGCCTTATTTTTAAAATACTTTTGACCTTCGTGCATCTGCCGCGGGGAATGGCGCGAAGGGCGCTCGGATTCAAACGCGGTTAAGCGTACGCCGCGTCTTCTTTCCGACTGCGTCGAACGAAGCGTCGGGACGCCGCGGAAGCCGGTGCGCGCCGTGAACGCGGACGTCTCCCGCGCGAAATATATCGCCGCCGGAATATAGAGAATTCGCGCGGCGCTCGTCGCCATATCGATCTGCACGGCGTGCCGGCCTTCTTATTTTCCAAATAACGCACGCTTTCGTTACGTCAGCCAAGCGATATGGCGCGCTAACGCGCATTATTCAAACACGAGCACGTTCACACTCAATCGTTTTTAACGCGATTATTGTTAATTTATTATTTTCGAAAAATTAGGCAAACCGAAAGGATACGCACGGGTCAGAATTTTACCAATTAATACAATGGCATAAAAAAACAAGTCTAATTTTTACCAATTAATATCATTGAATAATATAATCAAAGATATTCTGAATTATCTCGCAATTCAAAAATATTTTCTTTTATAAAAATTTAACATGTAATCACGTATTTATAAATTTGTCAAGATAAAATTTTAAAATTACTCAAAAACAATTAATCTTTTCTATTATCGATTAATTATTTCACGAGATAAATTATATTAGAGTTTGGACAAATCCAGTAAAAACAAATGTCATTATCTCATGAACTATTTGTGAGTTTAACGATAATTTATTGTAATTTTAATGATAGTTATAATCTGAATTATGATTTTTCAAATCAAAATATTTAAGAGATAGAATTTTAGCAGCACATAATCCGGAAAGTAAATAAAGCGGTTGCTGTATTCGAAGTTGGAGCATTTTCAAGTGGTCCGCTCGATTCAGTAACTTAATTTCGTCTACTCTCTCATCACGGTCCAGTACTCAATTTAACACACACGTTCATTAGAAAATTTAGTTTGCGAGAAAGTGTGAAACGTACATTGAAATATAACTGGTATCAAAAGAAGAAAAAATCAAATTTATCTTTTTAATTGTTTGTAATTTTTCATTTTATTAAAAAACTTAATCCTCAGTTAAATCGTAATGTATCTCCTTAATAAAATATAATTTTTTAAATATGTACAATCAATTATCTTGCTCATTTTATACATTAAGTTTTTTTTCAAAGAAATTTAAATTAAACTGAAAAGAAAAAACAAGAGATTTGAGAATTTAACAAAAATATTCTTAAATTGTTATAAAAAAATAATAAAAATTAATAAATTAAATAATAAAAAATAAATAAATATAACATTCGTGTGATATTAGTAAGATTGAATATCTAGCAAGTTACACTATTGAAAAAATAATGAAAAATTTCCTTACTGCAATTATTTGTTTGTTTTACTATAATTTCACTGTCACCGTGCATTTTTTAAATCCAAAACCCAGTCTCTGAAACTAACTCGTCCTTCGTAAGATTGTGCTTTATATTCTTTTATCTATCTACTCATTTTACTGATATATATACGAGGAGAAGAACGCGTGTACACAAAGTTGATGTACTAAAGACAGAAAAAGAATCGCTGCGCTGTTTCTTTTTTGCCTTGTTTTTCACTAGCCAATGTACGGAGCTACGCGAACGCTCGTCGCAGTTGAAAACGCGGATTAAAATCCGTAGGACCTTCGAGAGTGCAGCTCGTTTAAATACCTAGTCGTCGAGCGTGCAACGCGACGCGTAGAAAGGGATGTTCTCACGGTTTCATCCATTCGGGGAGTTTAAACGTGGAGCTTAACAGCGCGAGAAAAAAATCGTACGCGCCCGCGTTTCGACCCTCTCCAGGTTCTTTTTTTTACATCTAGCGTCGTCGTATATATAATTGCTGAAAGAGCTGAAACAGCTCGTGCCAAACGGTGCTCGATATAAGCGGAGAGAAAATACCAGGCGAAATTCGCGTTTTCCACGCGTGTTCCATTTCGCTGCAGAGAATCACACGCGCGCGGGTTTTAGTATACACACGCGCGGAGACGCTTTAGCTTCATTTGGTAGTAATAAACGGATAATTCGTGCAAATCGCGGAGAGTTTTTGATATTAATTTGACCCGCACCCTCTCCCTCCCCCATCTCCCATGTTCTCTCACCGAGCGATAATCGTGTTACCCGCGCACGCGAAATCAATAGGCATCGGGGAAAATTGGAAAATCTCAACCGAGGTTTCCAACACGGATTTACAAGCTTTCGAGCGGCTGTTAACAGATTTAATCCGCGCTTTCATCGGCGTCCCTGGGAAATTATGTTTCACGAGCGTGTATCCCGCTCTCAAAGATAGAAATGCGATACATAAAACCGCTCGTATGTCCGAACGGTGAATGCAGATAAACGCAGATGTAAACGGAGGATTCAATATTCCCGTATCCTTTCTCTCTTCTCCGCTCCCCCTCCCCCCGTCCTCTCCGGTTTTTCAATAATGTCGCGTGATGCGGCTTGAAAAACGCCTAATTAATTGCATTCGCGCATGAAATTGTCGCGAGCGCGCGACGCAGTACCTGTCGGTTTAAATTCGATTCCGCGTTTCCGCTGCATTTCAAAATGCGCACACCCGGTCCCGGACAAGCGGGCTGGCCCCGACCGGGACGGAATTCATTTCGCAATCACAGACATGTCCTAATTGTACCATCCCGGTTTCGTAATTTCCCGTTTTCCCTTAAATGAGATATTAATCGCCGGCGTGCAGAAACGCGTCTGCATCCCCGTTCACTCGCCCGGCCCGAAAGATACTGAATAATATCGCGTTTTAAAGAGCTCCTGGGACACATCCGACGTGTGTGCAGAGGTACATACGTATACGCGACATGTACAAAACTATATTGTCTCGGTTCTCGGCTAACAATTTAAACTGCAACGTGTCAGCGTTACATTAGTGGAAACGTCGTCCGTTTTCCGGAGAAACTTCCAACGACTCCTGCGAGCGCACTCGATTCCGACTCGACGAAGAAGAGATGGAAGAGAAATAATGAAAGAAATATATGTGTTTGGTTACAAAAATAAAAAATTAATTCGCTACTCGAGTATCGTCGATTTTGGTGTATCGCGCAAAGAGATTTCTGTTCACTAATATAATTCTTTTTACGCGATGGAAATTATAAAAATTATTATATTGCTCGTTGCAAGAGAGTTTAGAAATTCGAGGCACGAGATTTGTTCTAGTGTGTGTGTAAATCGGTCAAATTCGACGGCGAGTAATTACCTCGGCTATGAGCCCGATTACGAGAGAGAGAGAGGCCGTTTAATTACACATCGCGCAGGTTCCCTCCCTCCGCGTTTATTAAGCCGAACTGAACTCAGCGTGCGCCGCTGTGAAGACTCTGTGATAAAAAGATTCCCTTTGGCCCCGACTTAATAACAACGTACGAACTTTCGTAAGGACTAGATAATTACTTCTATATACACCGCGCTTCTTCATTAAGCGAATCCGCGAGCGTCCTTCGCTCTTTAACGATCCGAGACAATGTGATATTCAACGACAGACAAATCGTCACACTTATGTCATGTTTCTTGACAGGCAGCGCGATGTGGCAAAAAAATTATCTGAGGGAAACTCAATACGACCCTCGTGTTTGTGGCACTGCATTCGACTTTATCATAGGAAATATCGATCCTATTCTATTCGTTTCAACCTGCACAACTTTTTTCCGTCCACTGGCTCTGCGTGACTCATGATTCAACCCTTTTTACATATCTTTTATACATCTAACATATCCTGTAATCTAGTGACCTGACTAATGTATCCTCGTCGAAAATGACTTCTTTCCTCGCGAGATAAGATAAAATACTTTCTGCTTGCTTGAGAAACAGACCTGCGTGTGTTCTGCCATACGTCGACGGGACCATCCATCCCGCAATTAAGCGGGGAGGGGGCCGACCTTGGCCCTTTGACGCCGGAAACGGCGTCCGAACCGTCGAAATGCATCGACGATCGATGTGCCGCAGCCGCAGCGAGCCGCGCGCCAGGAAAAGTCATTTCCGGGCGCAGGGTTTGCGGCGCATCGGCGCGTTTTATTCTTCCGGGCGTACCCTCTAGCTGATCTTCGGTGAGCAGATCTTCACGCGTGGATCATCGCACGTGCGCGCGCTTTTCTCTTTCCACGTTTTTCTATATCAACTAATTGACCGAGCTATTCGGTTTCTTCTTGAGCAAAGTACAGTTCGCGAGGTGTGAAAAATATATTTCACCGCTTCGCAAGCGGCGTAGAAAAATAGAAGCTACTCGATTCTCTCTTTTTTTTTTTGTTGCTTTCTTTTCGTACTTATCTCTTAAACGCGAAACGCTAAAAGGAGCGACGAACGTCTCTTCCCTTCGAGATTCCCGCTCGAGACGCCGCGAATCAATTAGGAATTGGAAGTTCGAGTTCGTGACGCAAACAAGCGAGCGATAACGTGGAAACGCTCGGAAAAAGCTCTATGTAGGACGCGCCGATAAAGGACGCGCCGCTGCACTCGGTCATGCATTTTCCCCGACCACAATGCAGTCGGGAGCGTGGTCGCGGGACGAAGGGCGGGTTGGGCGGGCGCGCGCGCCTTTGAGCACGAGGGATCTTCAAACGAACCTCCCCCCTCCCTCTCCCGACGTTTCCCTCGCGAGAGCGAACGTCACTACACGTCGTACACGTCGCGCGAAAATCACGACGCCGCGAGCTCTCGCGACCGAATATACGCTTCGACCTCGCACAGCTACGGCCCCACGTATCTCTTGCTCGTGAGAGAGAACCCGCACCGAAATATCTTCCTCCTCCACCGAATGACTCGAGAGACCGAGTGACGCTCCGAATAATAGAAACACTTCGAGACGTCCCGAGTAACTGCCCTCGAGAAGGTGATGGGAGTCGGAAAAGTTTGGAGAACTAAGCTCACCCGGGAGTACCCCGTGTCTCTCTCCCGGAGAGGGAAACTATCACGAGGAGTTACTCGACTCGTTCCGGGCTTCCTCGAATCGACCCAGAATCTCTCCGAGTGATTTTCCACTGACATTCTTACGCTTAGACAGCTTCGCGGGAGCGCGAGACTCTCGCGCGCCCGATATTAGGGAAATTTTTTCATCCCTTTTGCCGTTTCTTCCGCGCGGAAAATCCCCTCGCACGTCCGATTCTGTTTCTTGCCGCGTGTCAAACGGGAAGATTCGCGAAAGGCCGAGGAGTTTTACTCTCATCCCAGTAATTGAATGGATGCGTTGTTTGGCAGCGAGCTGCCACGACGACCTAAATCGGCCGCCCGAACTTGGAAGCCGCGCGACAATCATGACCACGACGACGACTACTACGACGGCGACGGGCATAATGGTCGCGTCGAGGAAGGGGGATTGCAGAGGGGGATTAAACGGCGGGCGTATACCCGCCACCGGGAAAACAAAGCGGCCCGGGACCGCGCTTTGTCGCACCGGAAATAAAAAGGAATGGACGGCACCGCAACGGTGAAGTTGAGCGGGGAAAGTTATCTGCGATTAGCGCGCCTCGCGATAAACGCACGATTAAATTTGCATAATAAGTGGCGGATTATTTCTCGACGGCGCTACGCGCGGCAGATTAAAAATTAAGCTCGACTCGTAGAGTCGAGTGTATGTGTGTGTGCCTTTGCGAGTAACATTCCCGATGTCACGACGCGTGGGAAAAATGCGGCTAACACTGAAATACGAAGCCGGAATTAGTCGGTTAGCATGCGTAACGGCCCGCCGCCGTTCCATAATTAACGCGCTATGAAATCGCGCGGCTATCTCTCTGCGCGCGGGCACATTCGCGTGGAAATTAATCGCGAGGAATCGATGGCGATATCCCCCGCATACCGATCAAATATTGTACTTTCCGCCGAAAGACCGACGCTAATTGTCGTTACTCAAATAGGAGCCGCCCCTACGACGGTGAAATTTATATTAAGAAAAGGCTCGACTGACATTTCGTCTGTTTTACTTTCCGACAATCTCTGATATTTGAGCGTTACGTTGAAAGGGCCAATTCTCCACGTGAAGTTAATGGATTTTTAATATACATAATATGTTTCCAAAACGTTTTATAAAAAATATACATATTTCTATCAACATTTTGTCTCCTATTTCTATGACGGAAATTCTTAATTTTTACGGTACTCACGATATGTATTTTGTAAATATAATTTTCTTTCGCTAATATTATTACGATAATAATAATAATTATCATTTGATTAATTTTGTCTTTCCTTAAACTAATCAATAAGAATAGCAAAACGAGATGTCTCTAAGACACGTTTCTCGAAGGCGTCGCGACGTATTTCAGTGTCAAGAATATTGGTCGCCGCGGTGTGTGTGGATGCGGAAATAAAATTTATGTTGAAGATATTAAATTTTTCAGCGATTGTGCCCTATCGCTATGTAAAATTCTACTTTATCAATTGTTCCGGCACGGACGGAGAAAGCGGAAACGCGAGATAAGGCCGCCTCGCGAGGCACGTTCCTCGAAAGTGCGGGCATATTTCATCGGAAATACCCATGCACCTTCTACTGCGGGGGCCAGTAATAATATTCACGCGAATGAATAGCGGAAATATGGAAATTCGAATCCCGACTGTACCGTCCCACCGCAAATAACCGCATCCTTTGCACCTGCCCGCGAAGCAGCTTCCGCGGATTCGTCGAGTAGACGCGAAATCCGCATATACGTGCGTTACCGCGCATTTTTCCCGCTAATAAGTTCGCTAATATCTCATTCAATTTTAAAGTGGCGATACGATTCCGTTCTGATTGGACGCATTATCGAGGGCAGTTACGGTATTAATATTCAACGATTCGGCCGTCGATCCAAAAATATCCGAACGCGAAGGATTCGCGTTCTGCTTTCTCGGCATGATTCCCCGTTACTTTTCTCAACGACGACTCTTCGAGTCCGGCGCGATCATGTTCCGCCGAATTCTATTCACTTTCCGAACTTTCCGCGCGCTGGACGATTCTGTTTATTTATGTGGCGCGGACGGAGCCGCCCGTTCTCGGAAAATGCGTTACGGTACACACGTACCGTCTTTCGTCCATGCAAATTTATTCGCAGCGCCTCTCAGCTCCGAAGAGATAGACCAAGTCGGACCGAGGGGAAAAAGCGAGCTGTGCGAGGCGACGGCGCGGCGTTTCGTGACGTGCAATTTCGGGCGAAAACAAGTGATGTGACGCGACGTCGTCGTGACGCAGAATGGTACCTTCGTGTCGTCCCTCCGTCCACCACTTTCCCGCCCACCCTCTGCCCAGCACGGGAGAAGTCGGACGGCGGAAACGCGCGTGCCGTCGATCGTGCGATCGATAGAATCCTCCCCCGCGCAGGGTCGCGGCGTTCCCGCCCTTTCCCGATCCGTATACGCGGTAAACAGCGCGTAGCGCGGCACGGCGCGTCCCGCCACGGCGTAGGGCAATCGCGCGGATTTCCGACGCGCCGATCCCGTGCAGCTTGACATCGCCGGCTGGTCTCGGGCGCATCGGTTACCTGGTTTACAGAAATTCGTGAACATGAAATCCCGTCGGCTTCTCGCAGCCTCCGGCGGTGCGTAGAGCCGTGCCGTCGTCGTACGTGATTTTCTTCGGGCGCCGCTGCTGAAGGACGGGACGATCTTCTGCGGACGATCTTCTGCGAGGATGACGAGCGGAAAGTCTCCTCTTCTCCTTGCTTGCGCCTCCGGAAAGGCCGGGCCGGGCCGCTGCCGGACTTCCGCTTTCGCTGTTGCCGGAAGTCTCCCGCGGCGTGTGTATTATGCTGTGTTTACTTTCGCGCACTCGAATTACAGATAAAACTCGCACTCGTATTCGTACTCTCGATACGCACGCGGAGTTCTCTCAGCTCGCTTCGGCCATCGTCTGCCGTTTCGCGCGCACACGATTCACGATCGGGAATTCGGTGAGACGGTGCGTGACGCACGTTACGCGCGGATCACAGCGAACTCGTGACGCGGGAACTGACTCTTCGTCGACCGACACGATACGTCGCGAACGATAGCGGGTGGTTGGCGCGCGCGCGACGATGCAACCCCTTCGGCGACGACGGGGACGGTCACGGCGCAGTGAGAAGCAGCGGCGAGTGAATCCGCCTGGGAGGACCAACGGAGTGGCGTGTGCACTAAGTTGGCCGTCGAGCGCGACTGAGGCCAGGGGTGGCACCGAGAGAGCGCGAGAGGGTGGCGTGGATGCAGGTCGACGTGTACGCTGCACGGGCACATCCCCCCTAATGAATGCACCAGGCATGTGCGAGGGATTTTATGTTCACCGCCGTCGCCGCCGCCGCCGCCGCCGCCGTCGCCACCACCGCCGCCGCCACCGCCGCCTTCCCTCCGTTTACCCTCCACTACCGGCACCACCCGAGAGAACCACCGCCACCACCCTCGTCACTCTCCAACCTTCCCTCCCACACTACCTTCGTTCGTCTCTCTCTCTCTCTCCGTCCTCCTCTCTCTCCCCTGACCGACGTGTCCTCCGCCTCGCCTCACCTCACCCGCGAACCTCCCCTCGCTCCGTCTCTATCCTGCCTCTTTTCCTCTCCGTCGTGCTCTCGGCGCGGTGCGCTGAGTCGAGTTGAACCCCCTTTTCACGCGCCACCCGACAGTGCATCCGCCACCCAGCGCAACCAGACGCGCGCCGGTTCCCGGGTCCGGCGTGGGGCGGTTTTGCCCCGTATGGCGGAAGCCCCCGCCGCGCGCTCCTGGGGCTGTGCCCGGTTTTCGCCTCCTCCTGCGTGCCTGCGGACGTACTCTGCACCCGCCGATTGGTACGCACAACTCACCCGCCCGTACGCGGATCCTCTCTCCTGTGCACCTGCACACGATTGCTCACCCCCTCGTCCTTACCGCGGTCATACTCCCCTCACACCCCCTCCCTCCTCGCCCGCGCGGCGAACACGCAACACCCTCGTCCTTCCGCAAACTTTCGCCCCCTCCTCCTCCCCTTCTCCGTTTTGTTCATTTCTCCCTCTCGCGTTCATACATGCCGTCTCTCTCACCTCCTGCGCGCTCCTGCTCGCCACCTCCTTCGTCAATGTTTCTTGACCTCCGCCGTTCGGCCCGTGCGTTCATCTTTGCCGAACTGTTCCGTACCGTTCTGAATACCCCGGAGTCTGGACGTCGCACCGACCGTCAGGAACGTCGTTGAGGTTCAGTGGCGGTTGTCGTCCCCGAGTTCCTCGCACGTTCGCGGTTGTAAGGCGCGCGAGATATATATTCCGTGCCGTTCCGTAACGGAGCGTTCCTCCGACGCGACGGGACGATCGATAAATCGATCCCGCCGATCGAGCGCGGTCGCATCGGTTGCTCGAGAGTCTCTCTTCATGTAACGGTCGTTACAATCTTCACGTTGCGATCGATCTCGCGTTAATTTCTCGACACCATGATATTTTAGAATTTCTTGTCGCGCGGTGTCGAACGTTCTTGCCCGGCTGCAGCCGTCGTCCCCCGAGCGAGTTTCTTCGTCCCGCGAGAGGATAGACTCTCGGTATAATAATTCTATAAAGATCAGCGTCCCGAGAGTCGCGGAGTCTCCGTCCGGAAATTCGATACACGTCCTAGCCCTTTCGAACGTAATGCATCGCCAATTTCGAGTGTAATTCCGTTACCCTGAGACTTGCTTTGTTCTCCGAGCGACTCTCCCCGTCTCTCTTTGCAACAAATTGACTTAGCGGCAGGCAACTTAGCGCATTGTATAACGACCGGGCAAATGTACTTTCCACATCAAACATTTTTGCGCTTGTTGCGCTCTCTCAAACCGTTTTACGCGATTGTGGAGAACCGGTGAGAAATACGCAAGTATACCGAAGAGAGTTATACACATTTCTCTCGGAGTTTGAAAATCTACGGAGTCATGTATCTGAAGTGTAAATTATCTGACTAAAGATATGTCTTTACACGTGAGCTTTAAGAATCTAGGGAACGTTCTCTTTTTATGTGGACTCCCGCTTAATTCTGACGCTTCTCCGTATAGCTAACGCGTCTCCTCGTAACGAAAGATCCATGAGGTGAAAACTAAACGAGGATGCACGTCAGAGAGCGCGGTGCAATTATTCCAAGCTTAAAAAAACTTAGCGTCTGTAGCGACCTTAAAAAACGTAACACCGCTTCCCCTTTTTTTACGATATAAGTAAAACCGGTTTCCCTCCTTCTCCCGTTTTCACGTCGCAACGCGAAAATACTCGCCGCGTGATAAATTATCGCGAGAGAGCATCGCTCTCTTACATTATTTTAATTAAACCGCGCATACACCGGTTCTTCTCCATCTCATCGCTGCACTGCCACGTCTTGGTCGTCGACGCTTTCACTGCTACGGCAGCGACGTGCCTAACGATAAAGCTAGCGTTAACAAGGCATGGCAGCAACCCCTGTCTTACGTTAATATTACAGCGGTTAGATACTCTTTGCGTGCCATCGCTCACACTTGCGGGCCTTGATCTAGGATAAAGGTTTGCGAGTGCTATAAGTGCACACACAGTAAGCAGAAGAGCCATAAATAAAATACCACTTCCCGTATATATATATATATTTAACTTAACAAAATAAATTGTTATCATAATCCCTTTGAAAACATTAGATTACATATAAAACCATTAGGTTAAAGGAATGTCTCTCTCTTTCTCTTTCTCTTTCTAATTCTAATTACAAGAATAAAATACAATATTTCTTTCAGATTCTTCAATTTTTCATTTGTTGTTATAACAATACTATTAGATTTCTAACATAACATAATCGGAAATATTTTATTTAAATGAAATCGTTTAGTGGCTGGGTTATTACATTGGCAAACCGTCAGAAGAAGAAAAAAACCGTGCGGTACAAGTAAAGAGAGGCAGGTGACTGCTCTCTTTCACAAAGAGAGCTGAATCGGTTTAAGCGGTATAGGTTTATAGTATATATACATATAATATGTATATATTTAAATGAAATCTTTCGTTTTGGCCGTCGGGAGAGTCGAGCTTTAATAAACTTCGCAAGCTTTTCTGTGCGGCGGCGACCGGCGGCGGCAGTGGTGGCGGCCGAGTACCTACGTATGTACCAAGCCGTCAAGTGCAGGCTTAGAGGCTTAGCAGCTTGTAAGTACGTATAAACCAGGGCGGAAGTAGCGGAGGGTATGCATGAGAAAGGGAGGAGGACGAGAGGACGCGAGGGTGTGCGAGCGAAGGAGAAGGACG